TCGAATGATTTTTTTTTATTGTTCTGGTGTTAAAAAAAAAAAAAAAAAAAAAAAAAAAAAAAACTATTTTCAAGAGTTTCCAAACCGCCACACGGCCTCTTGAAAGTATTGGCGGGAAAGAAATTAATAACATATATATATAAATAACATATATATATATATATATAGAAGAAAGTCCCTCTCTAAAATTACTTTGAATAGGTAAATCAATAATTTGTCCGTGAGGATCAGACATTAATCCACGCATTCCCACTAGTTGATGTACTTGAGAAGTTGTATATATATATTATTGTCACAGAACTATTCACTAAGACCGCAAGCACGTGAAGTAGAAGGAGAAATAAGATGAGCAAAGAAAAGAAAAATGAAAGGATAGACAGGCAAAGAGACAGACAAACCAGAATGACACAGAACAATGTCCTCTTATTCTTTGTTTCACTGTATCCTGAAGAAAGGAAAAAAATCAAAAACAAAAGCACATCGAAATCATTCAGTTTCTCAGTCTTCTTAACGCCTCCTCCACCGTGCCTCTAACGTACAAGGCTCGCCACGTTGATGAAGTTGAGCGCGAGCTGCCCCCATCCCCGTATGCCATAACAGCCTACTTGCATGCTACGGGAAAGAGGCAGAGTGAAGGAAGAGGTGTTAAACACAAGGAAGAGAGGAGCAGACAGGGTAACCAGCAGGCAGAGGGAGAAAAAACNGGAAAGAGGCAGAGTGAAGGAAGAGGTGTTAAACACAAGGAAGAGAGGAGCAGACAGGGTAACCAGCAGGCAGAGGGAGAAAAAACAAAAATAAAAATAAAAAACGTTGACACAAACATCTTCTTTCTTTTACTGCATTCTTCTTTCTTGCAGTTTTGGTGAAGAGTCTACCACGTTCGGTTTTCAGCGCACCTGCACTTCCTTCTTCATTTTACAATCTCATTTTCACCCTTTGGACTTTTTCTTTTTAGGGTGATAGGGAGCAAGGTACAAACAAAGTAAAATGCCACTTTCTTGCAGTTTTATATTCTTCTTTTACTGCAGCATTCTTCACTGTTTTGCAGTTCTAGTGAAGGGTTTCCCACTTTTGCACATTCTTGTACACTCTTTTCAGCGCACCTGCACATTTTTGTTAAGGTGCAAGGTACGTCTAAGTAAGACCCTCACGACAAATAGGACAACTGTCATAAGGATGCGGGCGATGGTATCAGCCTTCCTGCTGATCCATAGGCCGAAAACCATTCAGGTAAGCAACTTCGTCACAGCAGGAGCCAGGGCGGCTAACATTAACCATACCTCTGAAGCATGCACGACAGAGGGCATGCCGGTTGTAGGCCATGACGATTGTGGGGCGTTCACCATCACAGTTAAGTGCACATTCACTATAGCGCCCGCAGGCACAGATGGGACATACTGCATCTGGATGTAGAGGATGTTCACAATCCGGATACAGGTGGCATCCCTGCCGACAGCGGGCCCGAACAATTATATGGTTGTAGTGATGTCGACAAAGTTGATGTTTTCCACAACCAACTGTAACTGTGTCAGTGATCTCACAAAGAAGGAGGTCACAAGGTGTTAGTGCAGTATGTGGGGGAATAAAGACTAAAGCAGGCACAGTGACAGGCGTGGAGGTAGGCACGGAGACAGACACAGAAACGGGCATGGAGACAGGTGTGGAGGCAGGCACAGAGGTAGCTGCAGAGGCGGGGACGGAAGTACATATGGCACTGATAGAGTCAGTAATCTGTAAGGAGACAGACACCGAAACAGGCACAGAAACCGGCACAGAAACAGGCACAGAGACAGGTACAGAGGCAGGCACGGAGGCAGGCACAGAGATAGGCGTAGAGGCGGGCAGGGAAGTACAGGAGGTACCCATAGGGTCAATGACCTGGAACAGTTGTATATATATATATATATTCAAGAGGGGTCAGAAGCGGTTTTCGAGAGTGTGTAAGGCACACACGCCTCAGCAACTCCCCCGCCTGCGAAACTCAAGAACTCGAGGTTTCAAGCGAGGGAGAAAACTCGAGAACTCAAGGTTTCAAGCGAGGGAGCAAACTCGAGAACTCAAGGTTTCAAGTGTGCTCGTTCGCTCGCTCGCTCAAGCAGTTGGAAGGACCCTTTTCAAGAGATGCCACAGCTCAGCAAACAACAAAAACATCCGTGTCTTCTTTGCCTCGGCCAACAACAAAAACATACGTGTCTTCTATAACTCAGCAAACAACAAAAACATGCGTGTGTCTTCTACACATCATGTCCACGAGTCCCACTTTCAAGAGTGCTGTGAGGCCAAGGGCCAAAAACTCTTGAAATTACCACTCTGGAAACGATGAAAAGTTTTCAAGATATGCTACTTTCAAGAGTGCTGTGTGGCAACTGGGCAAAAACTCTTGAAAGTAAGAGTACTGTGTGGCAAAGGGCCAAAAACTCTTGAAAGTAAGAGTGCTGTGTGGCAAAGGGCCAAAAACTCTTGAAAGTAAGATCTCTCTTGAAAGTACCTTCTCTCTTGAAACGTTTTTCATCGTTGCAAGAGTGCTCTGCGAGGACCTATCTTGAACGAGCGAATACGAAGAGCATCGCCTCTCGACAAGTTTTTTGTCCCCTCTCTAGTATGTGCGCGTGCGCGTTGCGGCTGCTCAGCACAGGGTGAATGCACTCTATTATGTCTATTTCACCTCGCCATTCGGCGCTAATTGTGTGTAGTACAGATCATCAAGGCCCGTGTTCTTGGTCCGTAGATCGGAGACTAATGTGGCTGCTCCGCACCAATAGATGGAGCCTCTCCCCAGGTGCCAGTGGTGTCTGCTCTTATCAGCATCATTAACACTGGTGGGGGTGTTTTTCTTAAAAAAAAAAAAAAAAAAAAAAAAAAAAAGATCGGAGACTAATGTTCTGCAAAGCAGTGTTGCTCTTTTTTTTTTTTTTAATCTTAGTAGCTCGATGCATGAGCCAGTCCGGTAGACGGAAAAGGTGGGTGGTGTAGATAACATCATAATCGTGACTGATTGAATCTGCTGCTCCAGGCATTATATCTATAGACGTTCAGTATACGAACCAAACACAGACAGGAGTAATCGCAATCGACTCTACGATTCCAACCGGTCAGGGACAACCAGCACATGGCCGGGGCAAACTCGAGTACAACCAGAGGCTCAGTGTGACCAGACGAAAATGGCTGGCACCGCCAGAGCCGGCCATTACAAAAACAATGGTACTTTCGTAGAGCTTCGCACGTGCAGGGCAAATCCGCCTCCTCCCACAAAGAGAATCTGATATACTGGGGAATTGGGGGAAGAAATGGGGAAAGGGGGACAGGGGAAGGGGAGGGGAGATGTTTTTTTAACACCAAACAAGGGACTTCATGAAGGGCCTGCGGAGAAGAGGAGATGCTTTCATTCTATGTTTATAGGGCACACTGGACCCATTTTCTAGCAGGTGCTACCCCCCCACCAATAGGCGAAGTCACTGCTAGCAGAGAAGCCGCCCCCMCCCCCTCCCCCTCCCCCTCCCCCCTCTCAGGCATGGCCATTCGTCCCTCGGCAATAGAGACACATCAGAAGACCTTTGATTCTTAGAATCAACCTGCCAGCTCCTACCCGGTTTCTGCCCGGGGTTAATATCCCCAAAGCACATGCATATACCCAGGTGAGGTGAGCACGCCGTTCGACACAATAATAAACCTCCCGTTGCCGGGACCACCATCAGTCCGTCAGACCCTTCTGCGGATGTCCAACAGTTCTTTCGTGATGATGAATGCCGTTGTCGACACACAGGAAAGACCACACATAGCCTGGGAAAGAAAAAAAAAAAAAAAAGAAAAGAAAAAAAAACATGGATACGATTTCCAGTCTTTTTTTGTGATTTCCTCGTTGGTACAGAAAAACATTATGGCCGAGATTAGCACACACTTCAACAACATAAACCACCCGTTTGTGGGACCACCACCATCACTCCGACGGACCCTTTGGCAGATCTCCGACAGTTCTTACGTCATGATGAATGCATTTACCAAGGCACAGGACAAACCATACATCGCTGAAAGAAAAAAAAAAAGGGGGGGGGGGTTTAAAACGAAAAGAGAAACAAAAACAAGACCAAAAAAGAAAGAAGACAAAACAAAAAACAAAAGAAAAACGAGAAGCCTAGCTCAGTACGTACACAATACTACACACCCACAAACGGTTGAAATAAAGACCCAACTTCGAGTCCACAGATGCAACCAGATGACCAGAGATTCTTGAATTACATTGGGCAGGTCAGTTCAATGATGAAACCTCGATGCCGCCACCCTTATGAATGAAAAACAAAAAACGAAACAGAAAAGAAAGGCCGGCATGTAAAGTCGTCATCTGACGCATCTTGCTCATCACCGCCCACCAGTGATTCAAACAGTTCACCCCTCTCTGGCGGACTCCCCACCCCAAGGCAGACTAATTATGTATCAGCAACTCGAACTCAGAAACATTGAAAAAGAAAAGAATGTGATTCAAGGACACAGTCAGAAAAACAGGCACTTGTTCTGTTGAGGGAGGGAGGGAGGGAGGGAGGAGAGAGACTGCAAATCGAAAGGCACAAGAGGAAGAACAATGTGGACTACTCTTCAGAGAAGAGTAGATCCACTGAGGCAGGTCACTGATAAAAAATGGCTCGCCACAGCATTTCCCAAACGCCTATAACTTTTGAATGCAGCTGGCGACCATACATAGAGGGGTTCGCCGCACCACTCGCCGAACGCCAATAATACGGAATGTACCAGGCTACAAGGTAAGGACCGGATACATTCAAAATGTGGACTTTTGGCGAGTGGTCGGGCGAGCCTTCAGAGCAACAACCACAGGAATGCGTGTACATCAACATTGCCCTCAAAATTTTACGTGATTTTCTAGTTAATGTTTTCCCTCAAAATCGACATATCCACAATCTGAGGTATAAATTTATCATGATTCGGGAGGGGAGAGAATACAAATAAATAAAGTTTAATAAACAAACAAACAGTGTGGTCCCTTCTCCGTTTGAGAGCACAGCTGATACAAAATTTTGGCGTCCCACAAATTCCACAGTCAAATTGCTGTTGTCTTTGACATCGGTGATCAGGTAAGAAAGCACCTCCACATACAACAGCGACTGCTGCTGTTATAGCTGTTATACCATGGAAGAACATTAAAAAAACGACACTTTGTACAAATCCACCACAGAGAAGAAGGCTCGAAAACGTATGCTTTGCACTAATTCACCCCAGAGAAAAGAGTTTAAAACAGATAAAACTGTTAAAAGCAAGCATCAAGAACTGTGTGTGCTTTGCTGCACTAAAAAGTAGGCATGGAAGAGAAAAGAGCAGAGCAACGTCCTCCGCCTCGACAAAGATCATTCCGTCAACGATAAGCAGACATGACTCTTCCCGTTCCCCACACAAACAATACTGCAAGCATCAAGAATTGTGTCCTTTGTTGCACTAAAAAGTAGGCATGGAAGAGAAAAGAGCAGAGCAACGTCCCCCACCTCGACAAAGATCATTCTGTCAACGACAAGCAGACATGACTCTTCCCCTTCCCCACACAAACAATCCTCCCCCCCCCGACCCTCCACAAGGCAGCCCCTGCTTAGGCATAAACTCCGGCGCTTCGAGACGGCGGGACTCACGTTCAAACTTTCTGCCCGTCGTAATTTTCATGGCACGAACTCTCGGATGAGCAAATGAAAAAGAATGACTACACAATCGGTCAGCCAATCAGGGGGAAAAAGAAAAAACAGAAAAAAGAAAAAACGAAAAGAAGAAAACAAAAAAAAAGTGGAAAACTGCAGTGTCAAAATCTTAACCGACACAGACGAGCTGGTACAGTGTCTAACAGACCAGCAAATTGCATCTATCTACCAGTCAGTTGCTGCTACATAATCTCTTCCACCAACTGAAAAACGCACCTCCGCACCCCTTCCCTCCCCCCCGACACTACCCCGCCATGTCTCAGGAAAAAAAAAAAAAAAAAACATAAGGAGAAAGCCACCCCCCACGCCAGGCCATCACAGGGACACACTGGAACATTTGCAGCAAAAAGGGCTTCCGTTTAAACTATACGATGTGACAAGAATAGACCCTTCCATCGTGCGGCCACGTCTGAAAACCAGACCAACCACTCCCATCTCCAAGCTCTCCACCTCAAGCGAGAGAGCTAAGGGTGCCCCTGCCCCTTGCACTAGTGATGGCCTTTTCAACTGAAATCTTCACCATAACTACAGTCGAGAGTTTCAGATGCAGGTACATCTCGAGTGCGTGTACATCGTGAGAAGCCCAACGCACGCGTGATGCCCCACCGGAGGCCTGATCTTCAGAGACGAGAGAACGCGCTCATATCAAGCAAACCATCATCTCCAGCAATGAAGTGACGAGACCACAGCAGGGTCATCCAAAGCGGGACAGATCTGCTCCGATCTGTACAGAAGAGGGAAGGCATACATAATACAGACTGATTGAGAGGCATGGCATGCAGCTTCCCTCTGACATAGAGCTACAGGCAGGGCAGCCCCTTCTACACCTGCGAATTGGCGGTCGCAGCAGCATTCACCTCCTCGTCTCCATTCATGACAAGGATCGGGTGAACCATCTTCAATCCATGGTACTTGATTCCACATTACGAAATATACAAACCCCGTGCAACAGGTTCAGTTCACAACTGCCTTCCTCTGCCACTCGCTCACCTCACCTCCCGCTTCACCATTCCACAACCGGTCCTCATTCTTCCCCCCTTTGCTGCCTTCCTTTTGTCTACTTACGTTCCATCCCAAAGGAAGGGGGGGGGGGGATTTGTTAAGGCCGAACCTCTGCCTGCCCTAGCGAACGTAATGTGTTTCCTTATCTTCTAAGCAATGCGACGAGAGCATCCACCACAAGGCTCTGTCACATTCATCCTGAAAACCCCTAGCCTAAGATGTCAACGAAATTATCTGCAAAGAGTCTGCCTCTGCCTCTGTGTTCCGCATCTTCACGACGATGGAGCCTTGGAAGAAGGACGAGGAGGCTTCACATTCGGTGCTGCATCCACAGCCTTGGCAGCAATACTGCCGGCGGAACTCGTGACACCCTTGACTTTCTCCGTAGCGGTTTTCATCATCTCGGCGACATCCGGCGCATTCTTCGCCACCAACCTCTTTGCCTCTCCAAATGCAACAACCGACTACAGAAACACAACCAAAACAATATTGTCAGCTAGTCAAAAAGCACGCGTTGACCCAAATCTATCGCAGAGATGAAGCTACACCGTCTTCGTAGTTCAAGCCACACTTTCATGGTCATAAAGAACATCAAACTCGTATGAAAAAAACATACACGCGATGCATACAGTGCCACACGTGCGGCCCCAGGACGTAGTCGTCAAGATGCCATGGAAGCTCTGGCTAGAGCCATTAGAGCCAAATATGTGCTTGACACCAACATTGCGAAATGCTTTGATCGAACTCGATTATGTAGTGGCTGAACGACATGATTCTCTAAGTCAGCGAGTAATGGCTTGGACTCTTAGGAATGGTTCTGGTGGTGCATATAACATTGGTTGGTTTTCCCCAAGGAGAAACGGACCTTCGGCCTCCTTTTGTACGTCCTTCTCCTCCTCCATGAGGATGGTCTACAGGATTCATAGCAACACCACGAACAACGGGTCGTCTTCCTAACCATCTACTTTTCCCTGCTTTCCTAAAACTACGCTTACCATGATTCTCATTTGAAACAATACCAATGGTAGCTCGACATTGCGAATTTATAGACGCTAACGCGCTTGAGGGTAACCGCAACCTGACGGTTGCCTCATGTTTTTGAATCAATTGAGCAAAAGTCCCTGCAGCCCGAATGAATTTGGCACCTTGGCCTGGATTCCATTCAATATTATGAATCAAAGTACCCACTGGTATATATGCTAATTGTACACAATTTCTTAGGCCCCACTCTGCTCTGCTGGCGAGCCGCACTCGCAAGAGCGTATTCTTTTCTTTTCTTTTCTTTTATTTGATTTTCTTTCCTTCAGCCTCTCATCTCACGGCGAGCGCACCACAAAGTGGATTGATGGCGGAAATAGCTTAATGGTAGAGTGTAGCCTTGGCAAGGCTAAGGTTGAGGGTTCAAACCCCTTTTTCCGCTCGTCAGCTTCCTCCGCTGCCTGGCCAAGAAAAGAATGGAGCCGACACCACCCCACCCTGGGGTGGGTGCGAAAGATGAACGCTTCGCAGCGGACTCCCAAAACCGCATCCATGCACGCGCATGCAGTGCGCCGCACCCCCAAAAACAGGCGTCGTGGAAAAAAAATCGGGGAGGGGCGCGGTGTGGTGGCACAGCCCGCCCCTTACCCAGTAAAAATAGTAGAGGACGACAAAAGAAAAGAAAGTTTGGGGGCTCGCTCAACAGAGGCACTAAAAACTGTGTGTGTTTCTGAATGTGTGTGTGTACTGTCTCCTCTGTATGGTAGGGGTCTTACAGGTCCGACCACAGTCATGATGACAGCTGGTAGTGCTCTCTCAAACGTATACTAGAAAGAGGGAACAACAGAGCTGACACGCGATTTCACTGGGGTTTTTGCTAAGAAAAAAACGAAAAAGAAAAAAAGACAGCGTTGGTGAGGACGGCTTCGCCGGCTTGTGCAGAATGATAATGTGTAACGCTCTAGAACATGCAAATATACACTCGCTTTTTTCGATGCCTTTTCTGCAAATATGCACTCGCTTTTTTCGATGCCTTTTCAGCAGCACCCATACTGTCACGATGAGCCACAGTAAGCGTACGTTGTGGCGCTGTTGCAACTCACCTGCCGTCATAAAAGGTTATCAAAAAGTACTTGTGAATAACGACTCTTCTCCTCAACGACTCCTCTCTTCAACGACTCTTCAACGACTCTTCGCTTCAACGACTCTTCACCGACTCTTCGCTTCAACGACTCTTCAACGACTCTTCGCTTCAAACAACTCTTCTCTTCAACGACTCTTCGCTTCAAACGACTCTTCGCTTCAATGACTCTTCGCTTCAATGACTCTTCGCTTCAATGACTCTTCGCTTCAATGACTCTTCGCTTCAAACAACTCTTCATCAATGTTATCAACAAGTACTTGATGAATAAGATTTTTCATTGATATAAGCAAAAGTTTGTCTTATAAGCGAGAGACACGGTAAAGGGGGAGCTAAATAAGGGAATAAAAGAACTCTCGGTGTGCTCTTCGTGTCCGTCTTCTGTATTTTTTTAATCGTTCTGTACGCCCAGCTTCATGCCTTCCAAGCAGGAGAGCATCCATCACCAGTGGAGCCTAGTCTGGCACGTCTCCGTAAGCTGACAAAGACGCCCAAGTTGACATGCAGTGGAAGCAGAAATTAGCAGAGAGTTTCTTCAATGAGAAGCCAATAATAACTCGGTACGTCAAAACAGCAAGGGTTATTTCGTTGGTGCCTTTCAGCTACCGGCTGCACATCCGGATCAGCATCCAGACGGTCTAGATCTGGATGTCCAGGTCCAGTGTCTGGTTCAGTAGGAGGTCCGGATTGCCACCCCCCAGACAATTTAAAAAAAGGCGTTACATAGGTTGGCAGGGTGCTTTCATGATTGCCACCCCCCAGACCATTTAAAAAAAGACGTTACACAGGTTGGTAGGGTGCTTTCATAAATCTCATAACAGAGATGGCGAGCTGTGCTCCCTCCAACACTGTTTCCTGTGAACTACGATGNACACACACACACACACACACACACACACACACACACACACACACACACACACACACACAAACACACACAAAGAATCTACTTCTGCCAGAACGTGAAAATGTATACTGCCACACGTGTTTGTGTGCGTGCGTGCATGCGCGAGCACGCACGCGCGTGTGTGTGTGTGTGTGTGTGTGTGTGTGTGTGTGTGTGTGTGTGTGTGAGAGAGAGAGAGAGAGAGAGAGAGAGAGTTGGAGATGGGGAACCTCACCGACGGGCCTCGGTATTGCGAAAAGTTGCCCACCCGGTATGGAGGGCAAACCGGGTAAAACAGGGTGCAGGCCCAGGCCCTACCGACGAGGTCCAAATTGCAAATTTGCACATGGGCCTAACAGGGGTGAAATGCAAAGAAATAGGGCCAAAAGGGCATTCCGCTCTACCTACATCTTTTAGGGGCATTTTGGCATATATCTCAACTTATAGGGGTATTTTGCAAATTATCCCTAAAAATAATACATATTAAAAAAAAAAAAAAAAGTATTTATGAACTGTTGGAAGTGTTTGTTTTTCGTTTCTGAACACCCACGAACTGTTGATATGCAGACCTGAGTTCAAATCAAAGATTAGAATTATCAAGTTTATACAACAATGTCAACAACCACAAAATGACCGGTGAGTTGAAGTCCCTCTGCCGTTCTTATAAAACACCAAGAGAATGGTGTCCCAGGAACCCTCTTTTTGGGTAAAAGCAAGCGATTTCAAGAGAATGTTGAAACGGTGCCTCGATATTGTTTGAGAGTTGTTGCAGTGGTAGTTCGTTTTTAAAACAACGGTATATTATTCTCTCATGATGGGGGGTGAGTCCGGGTGATGAAAGTAGACGGGAGACACAACTAGTGGCAAATGCTCGGTCTTTGTGTTAGCAGGTCCCCACCCTACTCCCTCGCTACGCTGATTAGGGTGGGGGCCAACATGTATGTGAGAGGCAGCTATGCTTGCAGGGGTCCCCTGTATAGGCTTAGTAGTAGTAGTAGGTAGATAGTGATAGGTGAAAGTGGAGGATGCTGAAATGACTGCGAACAAGACTATAAACTCACCTCTAGGTCAGTCGCAGCCATGAAGCCTTGAAGCTGCGATTGACCTGGAGGCGAGTTTACAGTCTTGTTCGCAGCCCGTAGGGTTGAGTTTATACACCTGAGTCATTTTCAATGTTTGGTTTTACCGGTCATTTGTACAGGCTCAATGGTCGTTGGAAGGCTGTTAGAATTGTAGGCAGGGGCATTTTAGGGGAGTGGGGTGTTATTGTAGGTGAGGGACCGGTAGGTGGCCGTGGTTCTTTTAAAAAATGGGGGGACTTGGATAACATGCATAAATCAAGAAATTATCAAAAAATTTCTTCGATCCCCGATGTGGATCTAACTTGGGTCCGTAGCTGCAAAGGAAGAAGGGGGGGGGGGGATATATGATATGCAATTGCAGTGACCGTTGGCCTAAGCCAACGAAGTTTAAAAAAATAAATAAATAATAATAATAAAAATACAATGGAGAGAAAATGACCCCCCAGATGGCAGGCGAAGGAGAAGCAGGTAGAAGTGGTTTTGGTGGGCGTTATCGTCAGGTGCTGGAGGGAATAGTGCGGGACCAGTTGGGACCAGTTGACACTGACGTGGATCACTTGGGACTAGTTGGTACAAATGTGGAACCGCCTGAAACTAGTTGGGACTGTCTTGGAACCAACATTTTTTGGGGGGGACTCGTGCTACTTGCCGCCATTGGATTTGGGATTACTGTGTGTGGGAATCGCAAGTCGGGAACAGATTGGGACAAACTGTTGGTCTGAGACTTACATCGGGACTGTGGTTTTTTTCAGCGACACATATAATTTTCTTGACTTTATTGAGTGAGCCAGACGTTCGACACCACTTCATTCAAGGTTGAGTAAAGCGTGTGTGGTCATGCATGTGAAAAAGAGGATCTAACGGGAGTATGGGTTGTTGGATTTTTTGACATGTGGTCTATGTGTCCGATTTTGATTTAACGCGGGTTCCGCGTTGAATTATTCAACACGCGTTGAATTCACGTTGAATCCCCGTTCAAACGCCCGTTAAACATGGAAAAACGGGGTACGCACTGATTTTTTTCCTGGGCTAAACATAATCGGAAAAAAAAAAAAAATGGGGTTGTAGATATTTTCGAGGGCTATAACCCTATATTTTTATTTTTATTTTTTGAGCTTTTAAAAAAAATAAAAAACATAAGCACAATAAAAAAAAACAAAAACAAGAAATGATACAAGTTTTTTTTGGGGGGGGTCACAGAGATTTTCTAAGGGCTAAAACAAAAACAGAAAAAAAAATAAAAAATATAAGGTTGTAGATCTTTCAAAGATGTACAACAACATTTTTTTTTTTTTTTTTTTTAACTTCGTGTATTTTTAAAAATAATCAAAACCATAAACAACATAATTTTTGGCCTGCATTGCTTAGGTAATCCTG